TCTTCTTTGATTTCCACGCAGGGGCGGTTAATTCAAACGCAAAGAGTACAGTTGTCTTCAAACAAAAATAACAACTCTATGAAACGTTTTAAACATGAAATATTTTTCTTAAATTCTGGGGCTGAGGCAACTAAATGTACTTACTCTCATTTTGAATAGCTGTATTACTAGCAGTACTTTGACATACTACCTGTGTACCACATGGTATCTGTCTGCGGTCAAATCTGTGGCTTGGAAGAAATAAGCTATTTACCAGACTAAAAAAATAAAAATAACATGGAAATTAATGGTATGCTAAATGTAAAATGATCATTTTACTGCCAGTTATTGCCTCCCATCTTCAGTTTACATGTGCAGTAGTTAGAAACACGCAAAGAAGTCTTAGAAGAAGCCATATATTTGCAACATGGAATACCGTCAACTATCCAGGGAAAACTGTTTTGCTTATGATCGTGCTATGAGTCCCTAGTTTTTAATTGTGTACCTAATTTTTTTTCTTATGAGAAGTTGCAGGACATAAGACTGAATGTTGCGATTCAAAAATATGTTGGGAATGTGGTTCCCTGTAGCAGAATATTTAACAGAAAATGAGATTATTCCAAATAATCTATACCTTAGAGATCTGATTTAGTTCTGACAACATCTGGATATCGATTTATATGCAAATTGTTGTTTCTGGATAATGATATGGATATAGATTCTCAATGATCACAAGGCGAACTCCTTTGTGACGGTTTGGTATCATTGTTTACAGTTTTGGTTAATGAGCACTATATTGTAAAAACAAAAACAAAAAACCCTTAAAAATAATGTGTTGGGAAAGTGGAGGGGAGGGGAGAGGTCATCAGTTCCTAAGTTACCAAAATGGGAAATTCTTACGTTAGATTTGCCTGCCAATCACTTCTTCCAACCTAGAAATTAACCTTCAGTGGTCCTTTCCACACTTGGATTTCATCCCTGGTTTTATCAGAGTTCAACTCGCGACTCAATACTTTGCATTTATCCCTGGTTCTAATAGTATCCATTTATCTCAGGACAAGTGTGGGGCAAAACTTGGGTGACCTCAATGTAATGTGGAATCAGAAAATATCCTGAGATAATTACAGGGGTGAACTCGAGTGTAGTGTAGAATGTAAGTTTCGGGGACAGGGTTGAACCAAGATTTAAGGTCTAGTGCAGAATCACCCAGTGTCAAGTATGTAAATGTGTGTGGTTAGGGAGGAAAAGATCTCTGCACTTCTGCATAGTATCGGTGGTCTCGGCTTTCACAAAAGGGATTGTTCTTGGCACAAATTAATATAGGTCCTCCCAAAGGTCTTTGGCTTATTTGAGAGGTGATGGGGTACAAGACTCCCTGGATCTTATGCCCCCTCAGCCTTTGTGGTGAGTTACTACTTTTTCTGTTTGGAAAGGTTTTAGAGCTGTGATATTCTAGGCTCAGGAGCCACATGTGGCTCTTTGGCCTGCCGCCTCTGACTCTTCTGAGCACCATTCTCCAATGTGACAGTGGTCCCTGTTCCAGAAAAGAGAGTGTAGCTCATGCCTAACAA